GAAACGACGCCGTGTTTACGGAGATTTTTTTTCAAAACGACATGGTACTGGGTGAGGCTGCGTACTCGTGTGGACGGGGCCACAGTTTACTCCTCTGTAAGCGTTCCCTCCTTTCACATGATCCCCTAAAGCAGAGCTGTGTGTGTTTAAGCCTTTTTATGGCAGGTTGATGGTTTAATGATGTGAAATGAGATGAGTTCTTAACAAACAGCGTATGAGGCAGAGAGTATCCACTCAATTAGGGTGGAGACTCATCATATTGATTGTTGGTTATTTTTCAGATTAATCTGATTTATTTAGTCTACAAAATGTAAGAAAATGCTTTTCACAGTTTCCCAGTGCGACGTCAAATCTACATTATTTTTATTCTTTTTTTAATAAATGGCCTAATTATTAACTGACTTTCAAAATAGCTGATTTTTCTTTTTATAGCTTTAGTTCCTCCGCTGTTTTATTTGTGGATTTCCTTTTTTAATGTTTTTTCCTTCAAATCATTTAATTGTGACAGAGAGCATCAGAAACTACCCTGATTATCTAAAGTCAGTCACACCCAGACCCTGAGGTCCAGACTGAACCCTGATGGTCTCACACACACACACACACACAGTTCAGACTACATCCACATTAAAAACACCAACTTTTGTCTCTCACCTGCATCGCTTTCATCACATGAAGGTTGGGCACATTCTTGTCAGCAAGCTCGGGATGCTTGGCCAGGTGGACATCTTTCTTGGCCACCATGACTCCCTCCTTGAAGAGGAGCTCGTAGATAGCAATGCGGTTCTTCTTGGGCATCAGCATCTGTGACAAGTGACATTGTTAGCCACGCGTCAATCAATCAATCAATCAATCTCCACCGAGTGCAGCCTCTTTCTGTAAGCAGAAACTTCAGCTACACCTACTGATATTAACTCCGAAAAGCAGCAGAAAGCAAACAAAAGTTGTGTTTGATCGATATATAAGGGTTGTTTTTCATGTATTCAAGTGAAAAGACATCGTTTCTTTAGACTTTATCGTTAAGGAAAGAGGCCCCGCGTTAACTAGAAAAATGGCAGTCGTTCATGAACATCAGTGCCGGGGTCGCTTCCCCCACTTTAAAGACAAATATCAGCGATTATAAACAGTTTAAGGCTAAAATACGTTCACGCATTCAGTTGTGACATAAACAACAGTCGAACATTAAACGATAATGTTTTATCCAACGTGAGATGTTGAAGATATATTTAGATTTCATCGCCGGGTCTGTCTTTACCTTTCCACTTGATATGGGACCGGAGCCGGAAGGACCGACGGTCGTGGATCAGGAAGGTTTATCCTCTCGGTCCGGTGCTGCTGGGGACGAGGCGCCACCTGTCGGTGTGGAGGGGAAGGGTAACTACTAATAGTGTACAGCAGACTACACTTTGTGAATATATCAACACTTTTATGTTATAATGTTTTTTTATTTTTATTATTTTACTGTAAAACAATTCTGATGTCAATTTCCAATGATAATAACAACAAACGTTTCTTATAACGTTAAATAACAATGTGCAATAATCAATGGACAATAACTATTGTGCAATCTATTGCCCATGTGCAAGTGCTGCTAGTATTTGTGTTATTGTTGTGGTTTTTTACTGTTTTTTCTCTCTTGTACAGTGTTTATATTATATTATATTATATTATTTTTTTCATACTGTTCTTATACTGTCTTTATACTGTTTTTTTTTCTCTATCCACTTTGCTGCTGTAAGATTGGAATTTACCCATTGTGGGACTATTAAAGGAATATGTTATCTTATCTTTATTTATTTATATTTCAAAAGTACTTTATTTTTGTGTGATTTGTATATTTTATGCATCAATACACCAAGATAAATTCCTTGTATGTGTAAAAAATTACTTGGCAATAAACCTAATTCTGATTCTGATCAAACATTGGATGAAATCTGGAATAATCAGGGGTGGAACATAACTAAATAGTACATTAATTCAAGTACTGTACTTAAGTACAACTGTGAGGTACCTTGTACTGGTAAATATTTCCAGTCAAAATGCAAATGTTGCACTTTTTAATCCACTACATTTATTTTACTGCTATAGTTACTAGTTACTAAATATATTAATATTGACATACAAAACAATTAGCTTATAATATATGATTGACTTCCGAATTTTGCAATATCTCAACTATCTACTGTTTCTATAGGCTTCACCAAAAGAGGGCACCTTATTATAACATATTTAATTTCTTTATTTTCTTTTATTGCTGTTTGTAAATTATGTGCATGTGTATCAGGATTACTCAGTTTTGTTGTACCCTGTGCGATGGAAATAAAGGAATTATATTCTATACTGAAATCTGCTTCCCCTCTACTAATAACCACAGTAAGCTCCCCACACATTAATGCATCAGTAATAATACTCACAAGGCAAAATAAGTAGGCCTCTTTTAATGTTTGATATGCTATATTTACTTTGCTGACATTTACATACTTTAGTAAGGTTTTTATGCAACTTCTGTGTTTCATGATAAAAAAACATTCACTTGCTCACAGTTTACTCCTCTGTAGGCATTCCCTCCTTTCAAATGATCCCCTAAAGCAGAACTGTGTTTGTTTAAGCCTTTTTATGGCAGGTTGATGGGTTTAATGATCTGAAATGAGATAAGATGAGTTCCTCACAAACAGTGTAAGAGGCAGAGAGTACCCACTCAACTTGTTGGCTGTAAAGAATTAGGAACCATATTGTCATTATTCATTTTTTGGTTGTTTTTCTGGTTATTCAGATCAAATGTACCAAAATGCTTTTCACAATTTCCCAGGGTGACGTCAAATATACATATTTTTTTTATCCTTCATTTACTTAATATACATACCTGCCTGTACTGTGAGTTTGTTTATTCTCAGATAGCCTCAATCAACTGCTTTTGTTCCTTTTTATCCATTTTGTAATTATTTTTCATCATATTTTATTGTTGTGTATTGTTTTATTTTAGCCTATTGTTGTTCTACGTGTTGAGCCATTTTTAACCCACAAAAAGAAGATTTTCTTAAATTTTGTAATAATGTAAATTTTGTTTGTTGTGTTTCATCACAGTATAGTAATATAATTCAGTTTACAGCAAAAAAAAAAAACATGTGTACTTTTAATTGTGTAATTTTCTCTGTTGTATTTGTATTATTCATGAAATATTGATTATTTTAAGAATTTTGTAACCAAAACATTGAAATGTTCTGAGGATAAATTATTTAAAAAAAATAAAAAATATTTTCACTTTATTTTATTTTGTCCAGTTTGCATTTCCGCTCTCTAAACGTTTATTTTGAAAGAGCTTCCCGGAAGTCGTACTTGTTCATTATGGCTACCTTGACTCTCCAGCTCCGGACCATCCCCCATCTGGCGGCTCCTTTCAGCGATACATCCACCGGCGATACAACGGAGGCAGTCCCTGCTGATGAAGACAATGATTACATTTTAAAAATATTCAAAGAAGCTGGATCAAAAATTAATTCCGGTAAGTTCTTCTTGATTTTTTATAACCGTACGTCAGTTATTAACAACTGGCTTAGGTTTGTTGTTGATAAAACTAGCTGCATTTATAGTTAATATTGCTGAAGCCTTACATCTGCTACCGGAGAGAACCGGCATTTTTCAGCCATTAATGGTCTTGTCTAAAGCTTTTTAAAGTGAAAAACTCTGCTCATCGTTGTAGCTTCTCGGTTTGCACCATTAAAACCTCCAGTTTGTGGTGCTGAAGTGGAGATCTAAGTTGAACCACCACCAGACTGCACTCCTGCTTCATGACATGTCCTATCAAATGGAAACGAATCAGGAGCTACATGTTACATACAGTCTGACTCCATCACAATACATTCAACAGCATGTGGAAGGAGTTGCTGTGCAGAACATGCAGTGAGAAGCTGAGGACCCAGCAGCAGTAACAGCAGCCTGTGCTGGCTGCAGCAGAGGGCAGGGAGGGATGTTTAAAGTTTAACACACACACACACACACACACACACACAGCTTGTCTCTGGGGAGAGAATCCAGACCAGGACCTTTTCTTTGATTTATCATTGGAGATCAGCTGGTGGTAGATCAGGTCAGGGCTGCTGTGATGTGCTGACCTCCATCTGAACACAGCCTCTGATCTCTGAGCTCTGTCCACGGTTCTGAACTCTGTCTGATCTCGGATGGACTGCATACAGTACAACAGGCTGCTGTGCATCTGTAATGGGGGAAAGGTTGAACAGAGATATTGCATTCATTGAAATGCCAGCTATAGATAAAAGTTTGATGTATGCCTTAAGTAGAATTTATTCCCAAAACATTGACTTTCTCTATGTCTTAAAGCTGCTATAGGTCATTTTTATATATTTGTTTGTTTGCCATATTTACTGAAACTTTCACTATATCCTTATAGTAGTAGATGAAACAGATAATCTGTGAAAAAATAAGGTTCCTCTGGCTCCCAATCCACCGGGTCTGAATGAAAACAACCAGTCAGAGGTTAGAAATATGGCTGATTGTCAATTAAGAATGCTTTGGGACTCTGGGAATGAGACTCAACTATCTCCAAGCTTCCAACCCAAAGCATCTTTATATCTTTCTCGGCTCTGATTGGTTCTTTCCGTCCAGGTCCCGGTGATTTTGACCATTTGTTGTTTTTTTCAATCTGTCTTTCACAAGTCTCCTCAAATTGGTTGGAAGTGCAGCCACTTTATTTGTCTGTAGTCTTTTCAGCAGAGTGATACTGTCATTTTCCACTTCTTGTATGAGAAGTATATTTTATATCACTCAGCGTGTTTGCTTCCGATGTGGTGGTTTCTTGATTAAGGACATTTTGTGTCATTCCCACTAGTGCTGAAATGACCAGTTGATTACTCGTCGCCAAGTAATCAACTAACAGTGTTAGTAATTGCATAATCACGTGTGTCATTTATCAAGCAGAAATGGCAAATAATAGCTGGTTCCAGTTCCTGAAATGTGAGGATTTGATGCTTTCTCTGTTTTGTAATGCCACATTTTGGTTCTACGCCGTAAGATAAGACTAAATGGGTCAACTCGGGGTCTCTTTTTCATTATCTGCTGGCATTTGTAGACTATATGATTCATTTGTATTCAGAAAAAATATGACACTAATTCTCAGTCCGTGGCTGAGTTGAAATCCTCTGCCTCCTACGTGGAAAATCATACAGTTCATTTCTGATCATCAAACCCATCAACCTGCAATAACACAGCGTAAACAAACACAGGGGACCATTTGGCTGCAGGAAATGGTTGCTAAGGAATATACTGTGAGCAAGTTTATCATCCTTATCATGAACTACAAAAGTTTAACAACGCTAGGTAGATTTTTGAGGGTTATTCAACCAAGTATGTGGCTTATTTAGTTTGGAGAATTAATGCTCAAGTATCTTGCATTTCATGGAAATATCATAGCTGAGGGTCACTGAGAGAGGGAGGCATGAGTGGATTTGTGTGTGTGTGTGTGTGTCTCTGCACACATGTTAAAGTGCTTTTATTTGAGTGACTGCCTAATTGGATTAATTCATGTGACACATGTGGGACACTCATTTGATTTGCAGCGCCCTGTTCAACTCTTTTCTGTTTTCGTTGGCGCAATGACAGATGAGCCGTCATTGCTAATGTAATTAATTAGACTAAACCCTAAGTCTCCTCCTCTCTTTTTCTTTTTCTTTTGTATATGTAATTCTATATTTGACTGTGTTATTCCCAGGGGGCATTGACGCAACTGTTTGCTTCCAATTTCCATTTGTACTTACAAGCTTGGCATGTCACATCTGGTGCTCATGAGCCCCGCCTGACGTTAGCTGATTGAAAGCAATTAAGCTAACTTATTCTTTTCTATTAGTCCCTTTTGCCTTAGTAACCAAAAATATGGCTTCAGACACCCTAAGCTCTTTCCATCTGTCTGAGTCTGGGTTTGGATCAATGCAATAAAAAATTTAATTTCATCTCAGTTCCTCCGAGAATTACCTCCATAACAAATAAGTTATAATTGTTCCAAAGGTAAGTACTGCTCTGCTACAAGGTCTCTTAGCATCTGAATGAGCAGATTTGGAGCATCTTTCCAAAGCTACTGTATGAAATGTCTCTGGACACAGAACAATTTGACACCAGCGAATGAAAGGATTATCTTAAAGCTTCCTAAATACATTTCCAGAACCTGTAGAGATGTACCGGCCGGATGGTGAGAGAGGTGGGCTTTGGCTTTGGTACGAACTGTAAAGTAATTGGAGCCTGAGATAGGATCCTCACAGGGGATCATGGGATAAAGGCCGGCCGCGTTTCCTTAAAGGGCCAGGGGTGTGCATCGTTCATCGTTTCCTTTCCAGCTGATGTCACACCTGATAAGATTCAGGGAGTTGTATTGTGATAGT